TTAAACTATTAAACTATTATACTTTAATCACCATATTATGAAATTTTACACTTTTGGTCACTAACCCGTATTTTGGGATGTTACATGTACATTATTTGAACATTCTTGTGTATTTATATTTTGGTGTGATTATATTATGTGTTTATTTTCATTAATTATTCCATATTTACTTCTCTGTATACATATACATTTGAGGATTGTTGAAATATCAATACTAGTTATTAATGTATTTTACATCTACTTGCAAATGTATCGAAACACATTACTATATCATTATTTTCCATGATATCCACAACAAAGTTTTCACACTTTTTAATATTGTGTATGTACTTTATGTCCAGAATGGAAGAAAAATGTGTTGATACCTTGTCAAAAAGTGTCGACATTTACACATCGGAACCCAGAATTATAATGTAATAGATAATTTTGTAATATAACCGGTATAAATATACTGGTTTTATGAGCGAATAGGTCTACAACCTATATCGACACTTTTTAATATTGTGTCGGTACTTTATGTCCAGATTGGAAGAAAAATGTGTCGATACCTTATCAAAAAGTGTCGACATTTACACATCGAAACCCAGAATTATAATATAATAGATAATTTTGTAATATAACCGGTATAAATATACCTGTTTTATGAGCGAATAGGTCTACAACCTATATCGACACTTTTTAATATTGTGTCGGTACTTTATCTCCAGAATGGAAGAAAAATGTGTCGATACCTTGTCAAAAAGTGTCGACATTTACACATCAGAACCCAGAATTATAATGTAATAGATAATTTTGTAATATAACCGGTATAAATATACCGGTTTTATGAGCGAATAGGTCTACAACCTATATCGACACTTTTAAATATTGTGTCGGTACTTTACAATAGGAGTCATGTTGATACTTACGATATATGGAGATCGTTGTCATTCCATTCTGTCTTCGAAAAAATCAGTTGATGTAGGCTGTGTGGTTGTACTCAAACTGAGCTTGACTTGAGGACATGTTAGTTTGTTATGTCCCTCACCGTTACAGTACCCACATCGTCTAATTTTCTTCTCGACCTTGTTCTTCGGCACTTCTTTTCGCTTGCGTTGTTTTCGTTGAGGCTCACGAACATTGTTTACTACAATGCTCTGGTTGAATGAATCATTCAAACCAAACGAGTTTTCTAATTCTTCTATTAGTTTTTTCATCTCATCTCTTGCGGTTTTGAAAGACTCGTCTGTCTTTGATGCAATGTAGCATAACCTACTTGACGTTGAACGTAGAGCAGCAAACCTTGCCATTTGCATCACTTCTGGAGACACATTCAAATCAACATAGCTGGGTGCAGAAGCCTTCGCATCATTAGTCCACCTACTTTGAATCAAAGTCCCGGGCAAATATGTGTAGTCCAAGTGCTTCAAAATGTGAAGTTGATGGCGACACAGAAGTCCAACGGTCTCGAATTTTTTGCAGGAGCAAATTAGAGTTTTCGTACGAGAATCAAAACTAATTTCAAATTTCCTATTTTTTTCTGCGTACTTTGACAAAATATAATGTTGACATTCATCTGATAAGGACTTAATCTCTGCCTCAATCCAGTACAATGTCTCCCGTATAAGTTCATCTTGGAACACACGAAAAGATTCGCGGGTAAAAATCGTAGCGGCATGGCTTTCAAGGTCGACCAGTTTTGTTATCTGGAAGGGCTTCGTATGAGAACTTAAGTAATCCGCTTTCAACTCGTTCATACGCATTCTACTAATTCCATCTTCAATTGCACGAACAACATCTAAATATGTCTTCTTGTGTTTCAGTGCAATAGCTAGTGAAGCATTCATAGACTCGCACCTTTGTGTTGAGCGAATATTGGCAAAGAAATGACCGGTTAGATATGCTTGTGCCCATAAGTGTCATGTATTTCCCTTCTCAATCACCCATGGATACTTTTGGACGTTGAATTCTGAAACAACCGAACGCCATTGAATATCAAATTCCTTGGTTGTCCACCAGGAAGCCATGCATTTTGAGAATGCTGCTGTAAACTTTGGGTCACCAATGTTAGCTTGTGCATTGCGAGAAAGATGCCAAGAACATAATCTGTGCTTAGCATAAGGGATAACAGATTTGATAGCCCTCTGTATTGCCCTATCCCCATCGGTGACAACTGAAATAGGTGATTTATTCATCATGGCTTCTAAAAAATTCTTTAGCACCCACTCGAAAGATTGAGACGTCTCGTCAGCGATTATGGCAGTGGCAAACACAATTGTGTTATGGTGATGATTGACACCAACAATAGGCATAATTGGTCGACCATACAAATTATCTTTGTACATTGTGTCGAACGTAATTACATCACCGAAGCATGTGTAATCCGATCTCGATGTAGAATCCGACCATATAAGATTATACAATGCCCCCGATTCGTCTACCGAGTATGTCATAAAAAACCCGGATCATCATGTTTCTTATAATCAAAGTAGGCAATAAGCGCATTCACATCCCCATCGACGATTTCCTTTGCTTTACCTCTTTGAAGTGCATTGTAGAGGTGTTTATGTGTAAATCCAACATTATGATAGCCCCCTGCCTGCTGCGTTAAATAGTTCATTACTTGTGACGTGCCAACACCGACCTCTTTCAATATTGTTGCCTCATCGATATCAACCTTACTTACAGCTCTATTAGAACACATAAATGGTGTCATAGCAGGTGTGCACAATGCATGATTATGTTTCTAATCAGACTTACTTATAACCCACTGATCGTTTGTATTTGTTGCTGTAACTACGACTCTAGCCTTACATCATGTTCTTGTGACTGGCGTATGAGCACGTTGATGATCAACAGTTTTGACTTTTGATACTCGAAACCCTTCTTTGGAACAACAAAATTCTTGTATCTTCACATTCCCTTCCACGTCAAGCCGTGTTGTTCCCTTACGTGCACTAAACCCATGTTCCATGCGAATCCCTTGTAAAAGTACCAAGCTTGATCACGTGAACAGAAGAGCTGACCAACCAATCTGTCAGATTCATCAACATTATGTACTTCATGGCATTCCTCGGTTGGCTTAACATTGTCTACATCAGTATTATCCATGGCACCAATTTTGTTGTGCAAGTTCAGTGGTCCAGGAGTTGATGGAGATGTAAGCAAATGTTCATTTTGAATATGTTTCAGTCGTGCTTCTTTCAATAGGATGTGGTATTGGTAGTGGTAGTTAAAGGGTGGGTACAACATTAAATTCGCAGTACATATTTAGGTATGTACAATAACTACAAGTATATATTATCATTAAATTTAAGTATGTACAATAACTACATATTTATGTATGTACATCTTTTGAGTGAGTTTTAAGATATTAATTTAATAATTATAGGCGTCTAATGATTTATTTTTACGTTACGATATATATTATTATTAAATTAAAAACAATAAACATATATATTACATATTTATTATTATCTTTGGTTAATATTGTTAAATTTTAATTCTAAATATTATTTTATAAAATATCAAAACAATCAAATAATTTTTTGTGCAAATGAAATTATTAAATTAATATTGTAGGTGGAAAACATGAAACACTATTAAAAAAAATTGAAACATAAATTACATAACTTTAAAAAAAGTATCGATCATTTTTATAAAAAGTATGGACACTTTCAATATAATAGGTAAAAATATGATGTAATAGGTAGCGTTTATATAATGTAATAGGTAGCGTTTATATAACATAATAGGTAGTGCTTATATTGTAAGTTATCTATCCTTTTTATAAAAGTGTCCATACTTTTTTCACTGTGAAAACATTAATTTAAGGTTATCTTTTGAGTGAGTTTTAAGATATTAATTTAGTAAATTAAAAACAATAAACATATATTACATATTTATTATTATCTTTGGTTAATATTGTTAAATTTAAATTCTAAATATTATTTTATAAAATATCAAAACAATCAAATAATTTTTTGTGCAAATGAAATTATTAAATTAATATTGTTGGTGGAAAACATGAAACACTATTAAAAAAAATTGAAACATAAATTACATAACTTTAAAAAAAGTATCGATCCTTTTTATAAAAAGTATGGACACTTTCAATATAATAGGTAAAAATATGATGTAATAAGTAACACTTATATAATGTAATAGGTAGCGTTTATATAATGTAATAGGTAGTGCTTATATTGTACAGTATCTATCATTTTTATAAAAGTGTACATACTTATTTCACTGTGGAAAACATTAATTTAAGGTTATATTTTGAGTGAGTTTTAAGATATCAATTTAGTAATTATATGTATCTAATGATTTATTTTTATGTTACGGTATATATTCATTAAATTAAAATCAATAACATATATTACATATTTATTATTATCTTTAGTTAATATTGTTAAATTTAAATTCTAAATATTATTTTATAAAATATCAAAACAATCAAATAATTTTTTGTGCAAATGAAATTATTAAATTAATATTGTAGGTGGAAAACATGAAACACTATTAAAAAATTGAAACATAAATTACATAACTTTTAAAAAAGTATCGATCTTTTTTATAAAAAAGTATAGACACTTTCAACATATTATAATGTAATAGGTAAATTTGCAATGTTATCGGTATAAATATACCGGTTTACTTATAAAATAGGTCAATATAAGCGTTACCTATTACATTATATAAGCGCTACCTAGTATGTTATTGTACTTTATATTTCCGGTTAAATAATATAACATAACCGATCTAAATTTTAACCGGTCATTGTTTAACCGGTCACGCCGTATATTAGCCGTTTTTTAGGCGCCGCACCATAGAACTATCCGTAAATTCTACTATCAGTCACTAAATTGTAGATTGTATAATGATTTTGTTATTAAACTTTAAAACACTTAAATCTAAGTATTGGAATTTAAATTAAAATTCAATTAAAACAGTGGATCGTTTAATTCGGAACGATGCTATGATGTATTGATATTTAAACACGTTTGCATGCATGGTATAGTCTAATCTTCGGCTTGTCCAGATGATCGATAACTGTTGGTGATATAAACCCCATGTGCCACAACCACCAAAACCGACACCCCTATATTCATCAGATTCTGTCGATCTTCGTAATCGTCCGTGGCAATTCTCTTTACGCTCTTCATTATGGTTTCCATTCTTTTCATTCCCTTGGCTCTCCCCAGGAAGCTGCTTTCAACTTTCTTCGGCCGCTTCTTCTCTTCTACGGCAGCCGTAGAGGTAGACCCCGCAGTCCTCTCTTCGGCTTGCTTTGTGCTAGTTGCAATGGCAGCAGCAGCAGCAGCATTCTTTTGTGTTTCTTCTTGTCTCACTGATAGCTGCACCTTCGGAGGAGCATTTACATTTTGTTGACGACCCATTTCCATTGATGCTTTAGGCTGATCAGTTATGGCGTTTCGAGGGGTTTGGGGAGGCAAAACTTTTTCGTCTGTTTGCTTTTCAACAACGGAGGACGTCATTGAAGCAGCCATGGGAAGTGTTGTTTCTTTATTGGCATTTGCATCTTGCACGGAACCTGTTTGAGTAATTGTCTGTTTAGGCATTGTAATGGTAAGGATACTATTTCTAAAAGTAGCGTGCATTTTTTCTTTGACACAATCTTCTGGAACAGGGAAGGCCTGGTTGAAACGTCGTCGTTTGTTCTTCTCAAGTGCTCGCTCCCCCTGCACTTTAATCGTTCGAGAGGAGTCCACATAGGTGACACTAATCTGCTCTTTGGAGAAACCTATGAACACATAAACGTCACAAATAAATCCCACCAGGTAACTAACCAAACTTGTTCGTTTATTACAAATTCTTTCAAAAACTAAACCCCAAGTTTTTTACTTGTAAAATTGAGTTTTTGGGATCATGGTCTTAATAGCAAACCTGGAAGGTGAGTGATTAGAAAATTTGCTTCTTGATCTTCCTTTCGTTCAACCTGGAGTTGGAAATCCTCATAAGTTAGCAGATACGTTGGCTCTTGATCTCTCAGCCATGATTCTAAATATGTTTGGTTACTATTTAGGGTGGAAATATGATTCGTAGGACGTCAACTCTTTCGCGTATTTATATTGTTGCATGTTCATTGGCAGCATGATACGATATTTCTTGACGGCGAAACAATTCTTTCTCTTAGGTTTTGCGCTGTTATTATGGTCGGATGTTGTGTTGTCTCACGTATTGCTTGTGTTACAAATAAAGTGCCCGTTTATGTGCTTTGTTTGCCCTATATGGTTTAATGCTAAGAATCCTGCATGCCCACTGTTGAGTACCTCTTAGAGACACGGTTCTTTGTTTTTATTTTTTATGTAATTATTTTGAAATTTTAAAAAGCTTCGACAACTTTGGTGTATTTTTGTTTTAATTTTTTCAATCCAATCACTCTTTGAATTTTCAAAATAAATAATTTTGAGATCCACTGATGGTCAATGATGTTTATGTTGTTTCACATTGTGTGGATTTGAATTCCCTCTTGGGAATGTAATATCTCCACTTAATTAAAAATAATAATTTTAGTTGGCTAAAAAATAAAAAAAAAAAAATTTAATTTTCTTTTTACTTCTCTTAATTAGTTTATAATTAAATAGAAAGAAATATGGATAATATTTTTGTTATTTTTTACTCTATTTTCAACTTTAGTTTTACTTTTGCATTTCATACACCTAAACTTGATCCAATATGTGGAAATTATTAATTCAGGAATTCAATTGTTTTTAAATAGTCTTAGGTGATTACTTAAAAAATAGTCTTAGGTGATTACCATTTAATATATGTTTAGAAATTTAATTAATCTATTGACAAAATACTTTACAGACACGTGTTCGAAATCGAGTCTTCTATAAAAAATAATATATACTTTTGTCACTGATATCATTCAATAAATTTAGAGAAATTAATTACTAAATGGCTAGAATATAAAAAAATTATTTAGGTTATTAAAACTTTAGTGTTTGAATTTTGATTAGCAAAAGTATTAGCGGCGTTTGGTTCATAGAATGTAGCATTACCTTTGAGAATAAGATTATCGAAATGTAACATTATCTAATACATTATTGGAAATATTACATTACTATATTTGGTTTGTTTGGCATGAATATAAGATTACATTGTTTGGTTAAAGGAATAAGAGATTACTGGAATATATATTTTACCAAATCGTCCTTGTGCTATATTTTTTAACAAGTTGAATTATGAATATTCAAATGAAAATATTTATATAAAAATTTATAGAAAATATATTATTTCATTATTTTTAATTTATATATTTTTTTATAAAAAATAAATTCATAAAATTTATATATATATATATATATATATATTTTACAAAATTTAAAAGATAAATGGGTAGAACAAAAGAGTAAATATATCATATATTCTTTTAATTTTAATTAATATTAATTTTTACATTATCCATCTAAAATTATATTAAAATTTTAAGAGAATGTATTTTTGAAATAATTATATTGTTTAAGGGTATTTTAGTCTAAACAATGGGGTTGTTTGGTTCGGGAAATATGATATTCCCATGAGAATGAAATCTACATTCCCCGTTTGGTTGGCTGGGAATGTCATTCATGGAAATGTTTTATTACAAATAGTGAATTTTTTTGGGTATATTACCGAGAATGTCATTACCTTCCTTTCCTTAAGTATTGTTGGATTACCGGCGTTTTGGACAAAATGCCCTTAATTTTTTCCCCAAAAATAGCATTCTTCTGTCATTGAATAAAAAAATTCTATGAAGGTTAAATTACAAATTTATCCTTAAACTATTTTAGATTTACAAAAAAAAAGCCTATAATTAAAATTTTATATGAAGTTTAGGGGTTAAAATAAAATTTTACCCTTTCATTAAACCTTTTTATATTTTCAATTTTGTAAAAAAAATAGATAAATTTTATGAATTTAATTATTTTTAAAGAAAATATATAAATATTTTCAACTTGTTAAAAAAACAAATATATAATAAGGACAATTTGGTCAAATATACATTCTAATAATTTTTTATTCCTTTAACCAAACACGGTAATCTTACATTCCTGCTAAACCAACCAAACACAAAATACAACATTCACAGTAATCATATTCCCTGGTAATTTTTTATTCCCACTTATAATCTTACATTTCGTGAATCAAACGTACCCTAATAGGAATAGACAAATACCTAAGCAATATGTGAGATTGACATTTTTGGTAAAACACCCTAAAATGTAACCGTTGGGAATGGATCGCTACTCCCTATTAGAAATCTTTCCAATCTAAACATGGGTATTAAATTCTGGAAAAAACTTTTTCCTCCAATAATCATCTTTTCCCTCATCCAAATACCCCCAAGGGTTTAACGTTTGAGTGAACTAAAATATTAATGTTTTAAGTGATTATTTAGGTAGTTTACTCCATGTAATTTGGAGAATAAAGATGAGTAAAATGAATATGTATAGCATACGAAAATGAAAAGTGAACGATGTTTTATTTTTAAAAATAATCTTTTAATTTTCTCTATAATGTTTAATTATGATAATAATGATTCAAATGTGTATTATTTATATTTGAAAGAACTTTTAAATATTTTTATAAATCATAAATTATTAAATAAAAAAATTGAAAGTATATAACAAAGTCTTAATAAACTTCAAAAATAATAATCCATAATACACAATAGCAAACAACAAATAAGAGAGAACCGTCACTTAGCTTTAAAACCTACTTTTGCCATCCTTGTCAATGGCCAATCGTTTTGTCGTCGTTGGTTGTCCCTCCATCCTCCTCTTTTCCTTAACATCCTCAACATTGTAATAAAGTTTTTTCTTGACTGTCACTAGATGATTGTTTCGTAAACCTTGTGTATGGTTTGTTACGGTGGTTGAATCATCTTCGTGTTGTGATTCTTGAAGTAATCGATCTTGACGTTTACTTGTCTTCAGACTCTTTCTTCACCTTGGATCGCTCTGAGGACTGTAGGTAATTTGTTGCTTCTTTAGGCACCCTATATGGAGATATGAATGAAGGTCAGTCTCACCAGAATTAGCATTAGTCTAATATAAGACTACTAATTAATGGAGGGAGAATCTGAATTTTTAGTAAGGCTGAATATCCGTGCAAAATTCAGTTAATTTTAAAAATAAAATAAGATGAAAAACCTCTATTATATTAAATAATTAATATAGTAATGAACGGGGTTCCATTAATGGAAAAAATTTAATTTTCCTTTAAAAAATAATAAAGAAAAAAAATGGTGGGTTATCTAACATCGTCCTCCTCACGTCTCAAGGGAGTCTTTCCTCACCCGAAAAAAGGAGAAACATTCGGGTGAACAACTATCCCCCCACAGCAAAATATTATCACCAACCCAGACCTGCGTTTTCTCTTTCTAATCACATTGTTGGCTTTTTTGTCTCTTGGTTCTGCCCAGTTGCAGACCCCAGATACGTAAAAGCCTGTTTTTCTTTCTTTCTTTTTGTTTTTTAATTTTTTTTGGGATTAATAATGTTAATATTGAGAGACACTGAAACAAATTGTTGTGTCATTGTAATGGTTTGATGAAGGAAACAATTTAGAAGAAGAGGGTTTGACATTTTCCTTGAAGGCGGGAAAATAATTAAGGAATACATAGAAAGAAAAACAGGGTTGTGTTGTTGGGGGAGCTTTGTTGAAAGATAATTAGTGTATTCGATGAAATGAGAAGAACAATAAGCGAATGGCGTGATGTTTGGAAGAGCAATGGAAACGAGAATGGCTGCTTATGCCATTTTATTGGTGATATCGATTTGCAATTTGACCGTGGCGAGCTCGGATGGTAAGAGGAGGATACGTGAAGATGAAAGCAGCGCAAAAACATCTCCCAAGATGAATGACAACATGGTATGATGATTCATATTCTTGTTTTTATTTTCATCCCCTCTTGTTGAATTCTTGGAGCATGTATGTTGTTAAGGGACTCTAGCATGTTATAGCATTGTGATGAAGGGAACTGAGAGAACTCGGTTTGGATTTTTTTTAAGGCAATTATGTCGAATTCTCGTTATATTGAGGGCGAATAATTCGACTTACAAAGGCAATTCATTCAGCTATGAGAAATGCTAAGCTATGTCCAAAAGTTTCCTGCCTTTACTTTGATTTATAAGATTAGTCGTTTTCCTTTTCTAGGGGTTTAGTACCTGATGATAGTCAAGGTTCTTGTCTGGTGTAGGTTTGGTTCGAGCATATTCAATGTTTAATGCATTAGAAATATGTTAAAGGTTCATGTATATGTCACTGCAATTGTGGACAAGTGTTGTCGTGTCCGGTTTTCTTGAAACCTATTTGATTTCTCAAGTTCAGGGTTGAAAACATTACCTGTTGAAAGCTTGACAGAGATCTTCTACGTACAGGCTGAGACATGGAACCATTGCATGGAAGAGATGGGGAAAGAGAGTTGCTATGAAATATTTTAACCTGTACATACCACAAGCAACCAATGACTTGATATCGCCATTATTAAAAAAACAAAGCACACACAAAGCGATTAATACTTTGCCTCCTCAAGAGAGAGAGGGGTTTCTTGATTGCTTAAAAAAGAATGGACTTGTCTTTCCTGCTTCTGATCCAGATGTTACCTCAAGCTATATACGGTCGCATCCATCTGGAGGTGTATTGGATTATTCACTTCACATATCGAAAAAGGTTTTGAAATCAGGTAAAGCTAAAAAAAAGAAAAAGAAGGATATGATGACAGTTATTATTGCTATTGCTGCAACTTCTGTCACAACATTTATCCTTGTTGCGGTGGTCTTCTTCTTTTGTTGTTTGAGGAAAATGGAAGAACCAAAGGAGGAAAAACCTCTTCTACACTTAAACGATTACTTGAGTGAAGGTATGTGTTTGTCGTGTGTTTTTATTTGAGTTGTTATCATCTTCGTTTTCTTGTTCATGTTTCCACATGGATTTTAACTTTATAATCTTTCAGGTTCTTCACACAAGTCTATTAGTTTAGGAAGTTCGAGCAAAGAAGACCCCACTACAAGCGAATATAATGACCTTTCTCCCGATAGTAGTTTGCCTGCAAACCAAGACGACAGCTTACTTCCGAAACCACCAGGATCAGAACCTGCTGTACCACTCCTGAAACCTCCTCCTGGGAGACCAGCTCCTCCTCCAGCACCACCGCCTGCAGCACCAGCTCCCAAAGCACCAGCTCCTCCTCCTCCTCGTTCTGCCCCCCCACCGCCTCCACCTAAAGGTGTCCGTCCTCCACCGCCACCAAAAGCGAAAGCTGGACCTATTGGAGGCCGTAAATGTGAGACTTCTTCTTCTAATGGTGGCCGTGATGATTCTTCACAAAAAGCCAAGTTAAAACCGTTTTCTGGGACAAGGTTACAGCTAATGCAGATCAGTTAATGGTCTGGCATGAGATCCGTGGTGGATCATTCCAGTAAGGCAACAATTTTACCTTCCATTAATAGTAAACTTTCTGACTAACAATTCGTCATCAAAATTTTCATTGATTCCAAATTTCAACTGAAAAACCTCTGTAGGTTGAGTGAGGAGATGATAGAGACTTTATTTGGTTATCAAGCGACTAACAAGAGTAATGAGAAGAAAGAAAACCAGTGGAAACTGTGATACAGTACATTCAGATTATCGACCCTAGGAAAGCACAAAATTTGTCTATTCTTCTACGTGCACTAAATATTTCAACACGGGAAGTTGTTGATGCTCTCAAAGAAGGTATCTTTCTATTTTTAAAGGTATATTGGCGGAATTGCTCATACTGATACTAAATATCATTTACATTTTAGTTTGACTGACAATTAGAACACAAAAAAATTGATTGGAAAAAAAAGATTTAATTGCTTAAAATGATCTTGCTATGGGGTTAATAGAATTTCCAATCAAATACATTAAGTTCCCCTTTTAAGTGTAGAACATAAGGAAACTGCATTACCAGAGAACTTGCTGGTATAGAATGTAATAGGAATTTGAGTAATTATATGTGTACAGTTTTGGCAAATAATTCTGAGCATTCATAGGTGTATAGACATTTATCAAGAAAAAACATGTAAAATATGAAGATAGTAATTGAAATATATACTAAGTGCATAGATAGCGGCTACAAAAGCTGAAAGTTTTAAGTTCTCATTCATCTGGTCGAATATCCATGTGAAATATTTGTTTTAGATCCATCTTTTTCAATCTTAAATGCATGTGACAGCTCACTCTTTTAAACTAAACTGAGCCAGGTCATAGGCTTCCAGGAGAGCTCCTTCAAACATTACAGAAGATGACACCAACAGCAGACGAGGAATTGAAGCTTAGATTATTCGCAGGGGATATTAATCAATTAGGTCCTGCCGAGAGATTCCTTAAAACCGTGGTTGAAATACCTTGTGCCTTCAAACGAATTGATGCCTTGCTGTTCATGAGCACTTTTCCTGAGGAAGCTGGTGGCCTCAAAGAATCCTTTGCAACTCTTGAGGTGAGATGATAGATCCTTCAGGTCACCATAGGAGGAAGGAAATGAAAAATAATAATATTTCTCAAATGTTTTTTGCATGTATTTTTTCGTCGATTGGATCTTCTGCTTCTCAATAATCAAGAGGCCACATAATTTAACCCTAAAACATATTTTCTGGGAATTTATCTTCATGAATATAGTTCCTATATGTAAACCTCTATTACTTCAATGATGAATAACCTGATGATTGTGATTATTGCCCTAATGACAGATAGCTTGCACGAAGCTCAAAATAGCAGATTGTTCACGAAACTTCTAGAAGCAGTGCTTAAACTGGTAACCGCATGAATGATGGTACCTACCGTGGTGGTGCACAGGCATTCAAGCTTGACACACTCTTGAAACTATCTGATGTGAAGGGAACCGATGGCAAGACGACACTTCTCCACTTCGTAGTTCAGGAGATCATACGTTATGAAGGCATAAGATGTGTTCGCTCATCATCAAACCAGGGCTCATCATCAAGCCAGGGCTCTAGCCTTGGCAGTTTCAAGGCAACGGACTTCATTGAAGGTAATGAAGAAGACACTGAGGAGCATTACCGCAGTCTTGGTCTTGAAGTGGTTTCAGGTGTAACCACCGAACTTGAAGTTGTCAAGAAGGCTGCTGCGATTGATGCTGATGCCCTTCCAACTACTGTGACAAAACTCGATTTTGGTTTGAAAAAAACTAAAGAGTTTTTGAATACGGATATGAAGGGTACTGATGATGAGGCCTCTCAATTTTATCTTACAATGTCTTGTTTTACCGAAGGTGCAGAAGCTGATATTAAAGGGCTATCAGAGGAAGAAAAAAGAATAATGGAGCTCATCAAGAGCACAGCGGATTATTTTCATGGTCAGGCCGGAACGAAGGAAGGCTTGCGTTTATTTGTGATTGTAAAGGATTTCTTGACAATGTTAGACAAGGTTTGTAAAGAAATTAGAGACACCAGAGCAAAGCAGCTAGCCCAGAAAGCCAAGGAGGCCAAAAAAGAAGGTTCAAGAGCAGCTTCTAAAATGAACCAACAAAAATCGTCTTTGGAGCGTCAGCAAGACAAAGATACCAAAAAAGAAGGTTCATCAGTGCCAATTTCTCAAGAGAACCAACAGCAATCATTTTCAGAGGCTCAGCAAGACAAGGATTCCATTAAAGAAGGTTCATCAGCACCAGCTTCTGAAGAGAACCAACAACAATTGTCTTCAGAGTCTCAGCAAAACAAGGATTCCAAGAAAGAAGGTTCATCAGAGCCAACTTCTGAAGAGAACCAAAAACAATCGTCTTCGGAGCCTCAGCAAGACGAGGATTCTGGAAAAGAAGGTTCATCAGTTCCAGTTTCTCAAGAGAACCAACAGCAGTTGTCTTCTGAGCCTCAGCAAGACGAGGATTCTGGAAAAAAAGGTTCATCAACGCCAGCTTCTCAAGAGAACCAACAGCAATCGTCTTCAGAGCCTCAGCAAGGTGAGGATTCCAAAAATGAAGGTTCATCAGCGCCAGCTTCTCAAGAGAACCAACAACAATCATCTTCGGAGCCTCAACAAGACGAGGATTCCGAAAAGGAAGGATCATCAGCACCAGCCTCTCAAGAGAACCAACAACAATCATCTTCAGAGCCTCAACTAGATGAGGATTCCGAAAAGGAAGGATTATTAGAGCCAGCTTCTCAAGAGAACCAAATGCAATTTTCTTCAGAGCCTCAACAAGCCGAGGATTCCGAAAAGGAAAGTTCATCAGCACCAGCTTGTCAATATAACCAACAACAATCGTCTTGGGAGCCTCAGCAAGACGAGGATTCCAAAAAGGAAGGATCATTAGAGCCAGCTTCTCAAGAGAACAAAATGCAATTGTCTTCGGAGCCTCAGCAAGATGATTCCGAAAAGGGAAGTGCATCAGTGCCAGCTTCTCAAGAGAACCAACAACAATCATCTTCGAAGCCTCAACAAGATGAGGATTTCGAAAAGGAAGGATCATTAGAGCCAGCTTCTCAAGAGAACCAAATGCAATTGTTTTCGGAGCCTCAGCAAGATGACAATTCTGAAAAGGAAGGTTATCAGCGCCAGCTTCTCAAGAGAACCAACAACAATCATCTTCGGAGCCTCAGCAAGATGAGGATTCTGAAAAGGAAGGATCATTAGAGCCAGCTTCTCACGAGAACCAGCAACAACCGTCTTTGGAGCATCACCAAGGCAATGATTCCAAGAAAGAAGGTTCATCAGCGCTAGCTTCTCAAGAGAACCAACAACAATTGTCTTCGGAGCCTGAGCAAGACGAGGATTCCAAAATAGAAGGTTCACCAGCACCATCTTCTCAAGAGAACCAACAGCAATCGTCTTCGGAACGTCAGCTAGACAAGGATTCCAAGAAAGAAGGTTCATCAGCGCCAGCTTCTCAAGAGAACCAACATCAATTGTCTTCAGAGCCTCAGCAAGACGAGGATTCCAAGAAAGAAGACTCAACAATGCTAGCTTCTCAAGAGAAACAACAACTGTCTTCAGAGCGTCAGTCACAGTCCCTGGATATTCGTAGACATCTACTTCCAGCAATTACCAGTCAGCGGGTGGACGATTCCAGTTCAGACGAAGAAAACTTCTCTCCTTAGCTATAAATGGAGAAAGGTATAAGAGATTCTCAGTTGGAAACATATATCCTTTTTCGTTGTCATTATTATAGTTTACCTCGCTGTTACTCTTGTATAAGATGGATGATTAGTACATCCAAACCAACGAGGTATTCTTTTGTTTTTTTTTTTTTTGTGACACACTTCCAAGTCATTTTGTTGATCTTTGTTCTCCATATTTTTAGATTTGTTCCTCCATTTTAGTACAAGAAACTCATATAGGAATCGAATCGAATTTTAAAACATTGAAATTTATGAGATATGGAGCGTTCTTAGGTCATTGCTCTCAAGAGCTTCAATTTGCTCGTTTTCGAAATTGAAGATTCAAGAGATATTTACGTCGATTCATTAATCCATTCTTTTTAGATAATCAAATGGTAAAAATTAAATTAAATTCGTTTCAAAATTGAAAAACTTAAAAAATTATTTATTCAAATTGAGGTCCTTGTTATAACAAAATTCAATTTAATTTCTAATTAGAATTTAAATTACTATCTACCATGTATAGGGATGGGCATGAAAACTCAGACTCGACGGGTCCGGCTTGATCAGATCTTTTAGAGTCGATTGTTTATTTTTTTTAAATTCATGTACAAGTCAGATCGGATCAGATTTATTAAAGGATAAGATCAAATCAGATTGAGTTTGGGTTTAGGATGAAAATACTCGACCTGAAATAAGAGTGTAATTATCCCTTATATATTTAAGGATAATTGTAATAATACCTCTCTATTTTTTTTCAATTAGATCTATATTTTATTAATTAAACATTTTTAAACATATATTAATGTTAGATCATATCGACTCAAATGTAAATTTTATCCAAAAAAGTTAAATTTCGAATGAGTAAAATTTTTCTCGACCCAAATTGAATCAAATTTCAGGTGAAAGGAATACTTTTCACGGATTGGATCCAATGGGCCAGAAATCCGACTCATACCCATCCTTAACTATGTATGAATAAGTGAGGTTGTCCCAATTCGGTTGTGAATCTTGGATATTTGAACGTAACGGTTCTTATTTTAGCTAAGCAGGCAATGGGGCGACTGCTAAATCTGATTAAGGGGGACTGCAACTTTGTCACTATATGTTGTAAGGATGTATATGGTTCGGTTTGGTTTGATTTGATTTTTAATAAAATATGAATTGAATAATATTTTTCGAATTTATAAAAAATGAAACCGAAATTGAATGACATGAAAACTGTGGTTTTCAGTTCAGTTTAGTTTGATTTCGGTTTATGGTTTTTAATCGATCATTATTTTTTAAACTCAACCTCCAAAGAAAGCAAATTTAATGCTTAAATCGAATGCAAATATAAAATTTTAAATTCATAAAAAAATATCATTAGTTTTAAAATTTTATTTATTTAAATTTATCTTATAACAAATTCAAAATAAATTTATTTTAGATAATTATTTTCTTTTTTTTAATTCAGTTTGAATCGGAACAAACGACTTTTATATAAAAAAATTGAAACTTACGTAATAATATTTTTAAAACAAACCCAAATCAAATTGTAAAATAAAAAATCTTAAACTGAACCGAACCACATAATTTGATTTGAATCGATTTTTTGATTTTTAAGGTTTTATCAACCCTAATATGTTGGTTGGCACCATTTCGGTCTTTTTTGAAGAGCGTTTAAGACTTGATATTTTATTGGACAAAGACGCTTTCATATCTCTTTCTCTCTCTCTCTCTCTCTCTCTTTCTCTCTATCTATGGGAAAGGTTGTATGATGAGTTATGGAGATATTTTATTAACATGACCGTTTATTATAATAAAGAAAAACAATATTTATATAATATAAAAAATATATAAATAAATGTTGTTATCGATGGAAATAAAATAATTGTGATTATCGTGGTTGATTCATCTTTTTTTAATTTAAATTTAGAGTAAAAATCAGTAGTTAAATGACAATCAATCGATGTGATATTCTTTATTTCCATGAAGGAGAGGAGGAGAAATGGAAGTTATGATTTTGTTGCGGAAGACGGCTATCGGATAGAGTAAAATCACAACTAATAATTTGAGAAAATAAAAATGAAGATAAAAGAGACACAAAATTTACGTGGAAAACCCCTAAATAATATAGGGTAAAAACCACGAGCAACGGTAGAAGAATTTTACTATGAGAAAATAAGAATTACAACCTCTCTCGATTTACCATGGAGAAAATAATGATAATTCTCTCTTGAGAAAAAAAGGAGAAAACAACTCTCAAGAAACTCTCAAAATTCTCTAGTATTGGGAGAAAGCTAGAATGATTTGGGATGATTTTGAAGCTAAATGGGTTAGGGTATTTATAGTTGAAGCTTAAGGATTAATAATGTAAATACCCTAAAGTTTAGTGACTAAAGTTTGTAATTTTTCCATATAAAAAATCAACAAAATCATGCTTAATTTCGGTGGAATGCTTTTCGGTGATTCACTTTCAAAGTTTGCAGTATTCGGTGTTGACTTTCAACAATCTCCCGCTTGAAGATTTGATTAGAACAATCATATCTTCACACCATTCTTTATACCTTGTACCATCATGTTGCTTACGTCTCTAACAGGCCACAAGAGGATCGACACTAAGTAAATTTATCAGCATTGATTGCCTTCGTCATGAAATCTGCTATGTTGTCTTTGGTATGGATCTTCTGCATATCTACCGTCCCTTCTTCCATCTTTTCACGAATGAAATGGTATTGAACTCGTATGTGCTTTGTCCTTGAATGAAATGTTGGATTCCTTGCTAGATGCAAGGCGCTTTGACTGTCACAAAACAGAGAGACATACTCTTGATTGTGCCCAAGCTCCTCCAATAGCATCTTCAACCAAATTGCTTCTTTACTGGCTTGTGTAGCTGCTACATATTCTGCCTCTGTTGTGGATGTAGCCACAACTGACTGTAATTTTAAAACCCAGCTTACAGCTCCACCAGCAATTTTGAACACATATCATGTAGTAGATTTGCTTTTATCCAAATCCCCTACATAGTCAGAATCGACATACCCATTGATAAGTAAATTTGATCATCCGTAACATAATGCAATATTTGAGGTCCTTTTGATGTATCTCAGAATCCTCTTTACTGTATTTCAATGCTCTTTTCCTGGATTCGCCATGTACCGACTAACCGCTCCCACTGCTTGTGCAATGTCTGGTATTGTTCATATCATAGCAAACATTAAACTTCCCACTACCGATGCATACGACACTCGAGACATCTCTATCCTCTCTTCTTCACTACTAGGACTCATACTAGAGGATAATTTGAAGTTAATAGGAAGAGGGGTAGAAATTGGCTTACAATCTAGCATGTTGAATCTTGGCAAGATCTTCTTCAAGTAATTCTTTTGTGAAAGCCAAATCTTCCTATTACTTCTATCTTGGTGAATTTGCATCCCTAGAATCTTGTTTGTTGATCCCAAGTCCTTCATTTCAAATTCCCTAGCAGGGTTGTACCTTCAATTCTTCAATATGATCTTTGTTGGGTCCTGCAACCAACATGTCATCCACATACAACATCAATATAACAAAATCGTTATCACCAAATCTCTTGAAATAAGAACAAGGGTCTGTATTAAGTCTGTTGTATCCAAGGCACATAATGAAGGAATCAAATCTCTTATACCAACACCTCGGCACCTGCTTTAGACCGTATAGAGAATTGTTCAACCTGCAAACAAAGTTCTTCTTTTATTTTTCTTCAAAACCTTCAGGCTGGAGCATACAAATCTCTTCTTCAAGATTTCCATGAAGAAAAGTTATTTTAATATCTAGCTGCTCTAGATGTAAGTTCAATATAGCACACATTGCCAAGACTACTCGAACTGTTGTTAGTCAAACCACAGGAGAAAAGATTTCATTAAAATCAATACCTTATTTTTGAGCATATCCTTTGACCACCAGTCTTGCACGATACCTCTCCACTTGATCGTCACCATTTCGCTAGATTTTGAAGACCCATTTGTTACCAATTGGTTTCCTTCCTTGTGGTAGTGGCACAAGGTCCCATGTATTATTTTTATGAAAGGCTTTAATTTCTTCTTGCATCGCCATCATCCACAATGAAGTATCTGAGTTGTTTATTGCCTCCTGGTATATTGATGGCTCACCGTCCTATGTTAAAAGACAATATGCAATATTACATTCTATAACATAATCTGAGTGCCAATTAGGACGTCTTCTCACACGATCTGATTGACGAGTTGTTGGAGCAGCTTTAGAACTCTCTGGTTCTTGTTCATCATGTGATGGTTCTGCTTCAGAAGAATCTCCTTGTTTAAACTCCTTTTCCATATGTATCTGAATAGTCTCTGACTTTTCAGCGCTATCATTGTCTTCTTTTCTTTATAGTTTATCTTCTACAAAGATAAAATCCATGCTGATGACCACTTTGCGGGCAATGAGATCCCACAAATGATACCCCTTTACACCATCAGCATACCCCAAGAATTTGCATTTCCTGGATTTTGGATCCAACTTTGAAATTTATTGGGAGTTGTACATCACGTACACAACACTTCCAAATACATGGAGGTTTGAATAATCAACTGGTTTACCAGTCCATATCTCCATTGGTGTCTTCAGCTCTATTGCAGTTGATGAAGCTCGATTCACCAAATAACAGGCGGTATTGACTACTTCTGCCCATAATGATTTTACTAGGCCTGCATCCCTCAACATTACTCTTGTTCTTTTTAATAAGGTTCTGTTCATCCGCTCTGCTACTCCATTTTATTGAGGAGTGTTCGCCACTATGAACTGTCTTTTGATGCCTTCTTTCCTGCAAAAGTCATCAAATTCTTCGCTTGTGTATTCTCTTTCATTATTTGTTCCGAAATACTTGATCTTATTTCCATAATCAAGTTCCACCCGTGCTTTGAAGTTTTTGGAAGTTGAAAACACATATGACTTCTTCTTAATAGGGTACACTCAACATCTCCTGGAGTAGTCATCAATAAATGAGACAATATTTTGCTCCACCTAGGGATGTAACTGATGCTTGCCATA